ACTGTCGTATGCCGCCGAGTGAATCACGAGTATTACTTACAATTAAGAGTCCAAAAAAAAAAAAAGATATTATTGCATTACATTCACGTATTACAAGTGGATCATACTATCATCGCAATTTTTTCTTGGTTCGAGTGAATCATTGCTCTGCTTTTTTGAAACTGATTATGGGAAATTCAATGAAGTCGGTGTGTTTCGCGCATCCCCGAACATCCCGTCCTCTCACCCTTGCCCCCACCAACGTAGACCCCGATTCTGGATCAAGATTTACTAAAAATGCGTAGCGGACTTTTTGAAAAAAAGAAAATCTCCGTAAGCATTACCAATCTGAGATTGGTAGGTAGCATTTCGTTGATGACGCGTGTGCATTTCACAATCAAAATTCGAGTGTAAAGTTGCCCCGCTCACTCGCAATTACCCCTTGCACGGCGGGTTCCTATGCCCCGATTGCACCTTCCTTGGAAGGCAAACAAGACAAGTACCAATGAGAGAATCATAGCATCGCGTTTACTTTATCCGCCAATTTATCTATGAACGCGTGTACGCTTGTGATTTGTGATTACGTCAGGTAAATTACTGTAAATGATTTGAATGATTTGACCCGGGCAAAGAAGTTCATCGAACAAGTCAAAAATCGATAATCGATTGGGTGCTTGGCTTACATGTTTCACCTATCACCATCGGAGGCGCATACGTTTACGCGCTTGTGCACAGAAACAACTTGTGCTTTCCTTCAAACGCATGCAAAGTTATATGAATGCCTAAGATGGGAAACAACATCGGTTTCCTCAAAGGTCGACAAGGAAAGGGAAAGGAGATCTTTCTGTGTGGAGCTAGTTTTGATGTTTCCACAGATGCATTCTTCATTCACGTATGCTCATAATTAAAAGATAAATAAATAAAGAAGTGGGGACTAATTGTTTCGTGCATATGCTGTATCTACTGTATATACTGTATATATTACGCAAATCAACACGTGTGTCGACCGAATCCAATTTTAGACCTTTTCATCCTTTGCCAAATTAAAACTCGGGCCCTCGGATGCGGGCAAAAGTTTAAAGTAAAGATCACTTGATATACTGTATATACAGCATGTACTGTATGTATTTTTTTTTTTTTTTTTTTTTGAGAATGTCGGTCAACTTTATTCCCTAATCCAACTTTTGGTATTGTGCCCGCCTGATGCATCGTGTATCTCCTTGAAACTTTTAAAAGGTAGTAATTTTTTTTTCTGCTGACATATTTTGCATTAATGTTTTTTTTTTCATATTTCTTTATTTTGAACATTCTTGCTTATCATTTAGATAGCGTGTGTTGTTTTGGCATGGTGCGTTGTTCTCTGGTTCTTGATACGTGTGTCGTGCTTGGGATCATCCAAAAAGTTGATCATCACAAAAAACCTGATTAAAGTGACAGAGAAAAAGAATCGAGGTTGCGTCACGGATGGCACACATAAAACAAAGACTTTTCATCAACTCCATTGTGCGTCAAGGGGAGATCTGCCAAGCTTTGTCAAGAACAAATATTGTCATGGTGAGGCCGCACGACGGTATTGAGATGAGAATGTATGGCGGGGAAAATCTTGAAGGGTCAGTGTAGCGTGAAAATTGGTCGGAAAGACGGCAGTTATACGATCAATCAATCAATCAATTCAATAATATTTACCGTACGTATGTACGCACCAAGGTGATTTCTTGGAGAATGGAATGTGTGTATCGCATCATCATGAATTAATTTGTCATCACCCGCGTGAAAGAAATGGAATTTGGTATGATTAAAAGTGTTTTCGAACTATCCTTTTTTTTCCGCTTAATAATAAGTGCATTAGCACTTTTATGCAAATGGATAAAGTTTTTTTTTATGACAATACGATTTTTTATGCTTATCTTTTTGGCATGCATTCGGTTTACCAATTGGCTCTCGAGATGAACAATCGAGTGTCCACGTGTTCCTGGGTGGCATTGTCGTGAATGTGAGAGGAAAATTTAATCTTGGACCATGTGAGCGGGTGGGGAGGAGAATGTGCGACAACTGTGATGATCAATGACCACCAGTAAAAATGATGAGAACCGTTCGCAGGACGCAGTAAGTGCGTCCTCGAAATTCCGCTAAACGGTGGAAATGCAGCATTTGCTGGGTGAAAACACCGCATATGCATACGGATCCCCTACTTACCGTGCGAGTTGTCATTAGACGGGGTACGTAAGGGATTAGACAGACGAAATTAGACGGGTGACACCTCCCTCCGTCTCTTCTTTTTCAAAATGAGTGAGTCTTATTTGCCGCGCGCGCACCCCACGGTGGAACGATTGTATTCAAAGAGAACCTATCACATAACCAAGATCATCAAAGAACAAAGGGTTGGTCTTTTTCACACACACACCGTTAGCATAATGAAATAAACAAGGAAATCTTACAAAGTCGGGAAATAACCAATCGCCTTTTTTCTATACTGTATATTCCACTGTGAAGATCACTTCTTCAACGGACTTGATGATATACATATCAGATAATGTGTAAACGGGTTGTTATTATCAGAAATACAATGAGTGTGTACGTGTCCTGGGGCACGTATTATATTTTGATAATAGTGAATTTCGACAATGAGAGAATGAATGAATGAATGGATGGATGGATGGATGGATGGATGGATGGGTGAATGAATGAATGAATGAACGAATGCAATGAATGGATGAACAGATTTAATCAGTTTTTACACACACCGGGCATTCAGGCATTTCTCCAACTGCGTTACCAAAAAAAAAAAAAAGTGATTATCCGGAGGTTATGCTATAATCACCTTCCAACATACGATATGTATGTACACAGCGTCTTCTCTCAATGCACGCGCTTTCACTTTCACGTCATTAATTGAGGAATAATCCGAAGATTTAAAAATTCCGTGCTCCGACCATACCACCGGAGATGATGCACTCCGGATATCCTACGCGGTATGTGCGTAGGTCGAAGTGACAAAGACAAATTATTATTATTATTATTATTATTATGTTTGGTAGTGACCATGAAATGGTATGTCGTTGACGTTGCAATCGAATCTCTCAAATTTAGCTTAGATAACTTTAATTAAGAGGTAATACAATACGAATGCAGAGAATATTCACACACATTGCTTCGCGTTGATACTTATTTGTAAACAAAGGTTTAAAAAGACAACGTCGTTCTCAACCACAAATCAGATTAAGACAAAGATCATGATATACGGTATTATCATTGATAAACCGATCGACCACCAAATTCAATAAATTCAAAAAAAAAAAAAAAATTTCATCAGGCAAAAAAATAGTGTACAGTACTGTACATATGACGACGACGACACCTCAACCTCTTTCCATAGGAAGAAATTAATTCAATGCGGAAAATGTGTCTAGGCACACAAGATTAAGAACTTGCACGTGATACGAGGTTCACCAATCAATCGTCATCATTTGCTCCTTTGATAAATAACAAAGACTCTTGGATCTCGGTGAGCGACTCGCTTCTTTCATTATCTTTCAGATTGTCACCTTGAATTCGCCAGCGACAGATTTGCGATAGTCACCCGAGCGGTAGATGTCTCGCTTTCATATCACAATAATTTAACCCTAAAAACAAAGATCGTGTATTTTTTTTTTTTTTTTTATAAAACAAATATATTCCAATAGGCATAGACCGTGCCTTTTGCAGGTTCCCTCATCGCCTCATGTGCTACCCATTGCCCGATATGTGAGTAAACTTCTTCTTGGGTGTTGTGCTGGTGCCTAACGAGCATGCAGCAATGATTGGCCGACGGTGAGTGGGTGAAGTATGTAAGATAAATATGTATCCATTGAAACTCGATCGAGCAACGTATCACCGCAATTAAAGTGAGTACGTAGTAGGGCGAACAGTCAAGCCTATTACTCATACTTGGTCATATGAAGTAACGTTTTCGGTGGATAGGGTCGAGAGGCATCCGGAATTTAGTAACCTCAAGATTACCTGGCTAAAAGAAAAAAAAGAGGTCATGCAGTGACAGAACTCTGAGGTGTTCGAGTACCCGGTTATCAGTGCAGCCCAAGGTACCTCCTATGTGCATCTCGAGATCTGCCATAGTTACTGCAGAATACTAGAATACTACTGTACATACATACAGTACATACGTACAGTACGTGCGTATAAAAGGAGGATGGGGTATACGCATAAAGGTATGGATTGGGTGGTGATGGTGATGTTTATGTGTGCACACCATGTATGCATTCGTTCTCTCAACTACAGTATAATACGCGGGCATACGGTGCAAATTACTTTTTGAAATGCCATTAATCATCTGTTTACCTAATTTATTATTATTATTAATTAATCATATAAATAAACAAATTGCTTTACCTTTTCTCCTCTTCTTTTCTTATTCTTGTTCTCATTCTTTTTTCTTTTTCTTTGTCCGACGGATTTGGGAATGTACGTCGAACCCCTTCCATGCTCGCGTCCTCTGCTCCAACTCGTTCGATCCGCCACCAATTCGTCAGTCAAGAGAACAAAGGACACATGAAACAAAGCAGCGTAAGAATGACTCAGAAAAGAACCTTCCAGAAGTTTGGTTAGGTGTGCATTTCAAGCCAATCACCGTTCAGTCGAATCGTTCATATAAAACATTTATTATTATTTATTATACAGGGCACACGCATCACTGAACGCATGCATTCAGCTTCAACGAGACAAACAACCACACGCAGATCACTTCTTCGACCATGCGTGCAAGGTTGTCGTTCTTTTGAATCTGATGGCAGGTTTCTTCGTCGATCTGACGAATGCGCGTGCGTGCGGTTCAATCCGCCCAACTTTCCCCCGGTTGCTCGATTCGAATAAATGAATGGATGGATGAGTGAACACAAGTTGGTGTCAAAGAAGTTGGTTTCCGTCACTTCACTCAATGTCACCGAAAATGGGTGGTCTTGGTGGCACGCGAGTGCCCACCATTCATTCCGTTTTTGAGATAAGGGAGAAAAAAAAATGAAACTTACTTATTTGTTTACGTGACCGCCTAAATTGCTTGGGTGATCCTCCGTTCCGAAAGGATGCGGTTGGCCAACCGACAATTCCTCAAGGTCCGAAAAGAGATGGCTTTTTGCGAAATTGCCCTCGCGCACACAGTTGATCTAATACTATGTCACATCTACTTTCCATACACTGTACGTCATACGCACGATATTTGAAGGCAGAACAATTCCCTAGTCCTCTTTGCAATTGCATCGAACCGACGCTGAGTGAAACCCTCAAATGATCATTGGCAAAGATTCCTCCTCCTGGATTTCCACATCAGCCTTTTTCTCCTCAGCAATGGCGTAAAGATATACTTACTGTACGTATGCACGCACATATGTACAGGTTGCATCCCGCTGTCTGTGTTACATGTCGATAATTTTTGGAAAAAAAAAATTTTTTTTGTTAAACAACTCTAAAAATTTTTTTTATTAATGTTAATTGTGACAAAATCGTGTTGACCCTTGAAATAACATCAAACTGGCGTTAACAGGTTGATCATTATTTAATGGCAAAAAAAAAAAAAAAAATTAAAAACTAGTTTACAAACTGGTAGCCAATATCTCCCCCGCATTTCTCTATCGATAAGTCTCAACAGAAAGAGCTCAAAAGTTACATCATTATCGGTTAGATGATTTTTACTATTATTACGGCCTGCTGCCATTAGGGATTTATAGTTTACCGCAATTATTTGCGCATCCCATTATTTTTCTATTGATACTGTGTGAGAAGTGAAGTGTCAAAATAAGGTTTGCAATTTATACTAATTGTCTAAACAATAAACAAGAAAGTGTTCGGTTCTGTCCTGAGTGCAGCCGGTTAAATGATAACATTTTTGTCTTAGAGAACTTCTTTTGATGTTGTGAATTTCTTTTTTAAAAGAAAAAAAAACATATGTATATATATATACAGTATATATATATAAATATAAGTATAAGAATAAAAATAAAAAATTAAAATAAGAATGAGCCCTCTGATGGGAGTAATTTGTCACATGCCCTGTTCGATGATGGATGGAGGTGGATCATATAAACATCAACAAGCGATATGATGTCGTTATTGTTCGAAAACTATAATTACGCTTATATATACTTTATATACTGTATATACAACATACGCATATACTGTATATGCACATATAGCTATGTAAACGCACTGACCAACGAGTCATACATACCGTCTTCTGACTCGTATGTACTGTATGTGTGGTGAGTTTAAAATAGCATGTACTGTTATGGAGGAACCATGTCTTCTTCTCCACCGGATCGCTCCCTTGAAACCGCTCCGCACCCTTCCCCTCCCCCCCCCCCCCCGCCCCCCCCCCCCCCCCCCCCCCCCCCCCCCCCCCCCCCCCCCCCCCCCTTGCTCCCTTGACACCGGGAAGGGGACAACAACTCGCACAGGAACGATGATGGTATGCAGGAAAGTACGTGCACGCACAATTGACAAAGGACGAATTATGCTATATATGAACATACGGCATGAGTACAATGTGCCGTGTTATTATGGTTACTTGAGGTGAATAACTGCACGCACTTTCTTATTCTTTTTTGACAACAATAGAATGACACGCGAGGGCTGATATAATATCCATACGTGTAACAGGATAATTTTGATGTAAGTACAATGATGTTTTTGTAATGTAAAGGGTGAAATAAAACTTTCAGGAAAAGAAGGAACATGCTATTCTCTTTATCTCATTATGATTGCTTTTTAAAGACGCCGGTCATGTTGCACCCGCATATTTGATGACGCACATTTTGTGGGGTAGAGGGAATAAGAGTCATACTTTATTTTTTTTTTTTTCAGCAACAAGGTTACTATGGCACAACAATCTGTTCCACCTTAAAAAAAAAAGGACTTTTTATTTATTTACTTGTTCTTTTTTGATCGTGTTGAATGCATTATTATGGTAAGAATACTCTAATTGTTTTGAAAAAAAAAAAAAAAAAAAAAACTCTGTCCGAAGATCTCAACGCCGTAACCGGTGGCCAATGGCGATCGTCCAATGGGAATGATCATTCTACGGGCAATAATGAAGCGGGCTTCCATTGTGTTCATGCCGTGGAACGCACGTACGTCTTCGATCCTCTCTGGAAAATGTGATGGGAACGAGATTCCCTCTGCTCGGAGGATGAGACGGTTGAACTCACATTGCGACATCTCGGTGTCTCTCCGCCAAGATGACGACGATGAATTGATTGATGCGAGACGCCGAGACCGCTGTTCAAGGTGTGCGCGCACGTTACGCACATCCGTAGCGATCCTCATTACCCAAACATGTCACACAGGATCACGAATCCTATTTTGGTAATATCCAAGGAAAAAATAATATCCATTAATAGAAATCCCATGTCGTCATATGTGAAATGAGAGGGGGATGTTGTCACCGGGATAGGTTTGTCAAACGTGTTAGTGGCTTAAGTGCACTGTACGCCACATCGCCGCCATTACACAGGCGTTTACTTTAATTGGATCCCAATGCCCGCGTCCAATTTTACAAATGAAGAAGGAATCGGACCCGTCTATCGTAATGATCTAATCCTTATCTTTATTCAAAAAAATGGTTTCGACCTTTCGAAGAAAACTAGTATCCGTGTGCTTAATGTGTGTGCGTGTGAGCCTCCATGTTCTACACGATTCCCGTGCCGTATCAGGTTAAATTACATCGGGCGCCAAACGGGAATTGAAAAAGAAAAGGATCACCGAACATTGATGTGCATTATGGTTAGTTGAAGTAAGGAAAGCAAGAATTGATGCCGTATCTGCGGGTAATAATGGTGACCCCTTTATTATGTCAAAGGAAAGGAGAGAAAGGATCGTCCGTGCCGATAAAACAATTGCGCTGCGCATATCTTCAAGGAACGGATGCGTGCGAAGCGTTTGGCGCAAAGCCCCTGTTTTGGTCACCGCTGTCACCTATGCGCATTGTGAGAATGTCTCACGCACCATAAGCAGGGAACAAATCCACGGTCGCAGTCAAGCAGAACATTTCTTTTCTTTGGAGGGAAAGAAAAGAGGGTGAACACGCATTCCTTGGCCTCTGTTCCACGCACGCGTGACCCGACCGGGTGACAACGTACGGTAATTTTTAAAGGAAGCCGTCGTCCTGTTTTACGAAAATGAATTTGTGGGGAGATTCTATGATCGCTTGATGTTGGCGTGTGTCACGATGTGTCATATGTTTGTTCCGAACAATGAGCGATATCCGGAGGGCACACCGGTGAATACCGTATGGATTCAGGATGATCTACTTCATTTTCTCGCATGATGCTTCTTCTCTTGGTATCTCTATCAGCAAAATTGAACCTATTGGGCGATCCACCAGGGTCGATCTTCCCTAAAACATTTGAAGCTCGCGCAGATTCGTGCAAGTGTGCACTGAATGAGATGATTTTGGTAAATAATTTCCGAGTCAACATTCTGTTCACCTTTGGCGCACGGGAGAACGCCCTCTGGTATTGGTGGGAGTGTTCCGAGAAAGAAAAGGGTTCGTCGATGATTGAGTCGTTTCATACCACCTTCTCCTCCGAAACAAATTTGGTTAGCGGCCGGGAAGTTCTTGTGGATGGATTCGGATCGGGCACTTTTCCTTTGATCAACTCGATTCAGAGAATGCGATTGTAATCACACGATGATCGATGCAAGAAGCTTCCTTCGCACAGATTGTGTGCGGGTTAGCTTGTTGCGGAGAGAGAAAGAGGGAGATCTCTCGGCCCTCCAAAAATGACCGATCTGTCCGCATCGACAGTTGCTGCGGCGTTTTGAGAGGCAAGCCGCATCACGGCAATCCATTGAAAATCGGTAAATAAATCCACAAAATTTGATATTTAAATTGCGCATATCCATCTTTGGAAAAAGGTACCTCCACGTGTTGTTCAGATAAATTCCGTGCATGTGTTTATGTATGGTGTCAGAGAAGATGAATGAAATAACATTAAAGTAAAAATTAAAATTAAAACAAGTTAAATCTGTCGGACATGCCCGTGACCCATCTCATAGAGCGAGATTCTTGTGGTCGCGTGATCCTTGATTGATATCAAAATATTTTTGTGATAGGAAATTTAATCGACAACCATAAAAAAAAAAAATTTTTTTATTTTTTTTTTTCTAGAACCACACGAGTTCTTTTTTTTTTAAGGAATTCGAGGATGGAACAAGTATGACCTCATCGGGGACGCATTCCCAATGAAATTTGGCTGCGGCGAGACACACAGAAATAGATAAACCTTGGCGCATAAATGATGCGCTCGTATACTCCGTGTAAGCAAATGGAACAATGGCGAAGTCGGTGTCAATGTGCCGATTATAGTTTTTTTTTTTTTCCACCAACCTCAAACTTCTCTCTTCTAGGCAACATCATGAAACTTATGTCATGAGCAACGCCCGGAAATGTGAACCGATGGCGCTTTGCGTAATCCAAGTGGGCGAGTGTCTTTTTGAAAAAGAAAAGACGCACCGATTTCTTAATGTGAAACGAGAAAAATCATCTATCTGATTGTTGGATACACGTAACCGATTATTGTCGAGATTGGGAAAAAAAAACGGAGCTTATGTAAATCTCGTTACGCTACCTTGACCACTTGACCCACCTTAGGGCCGGGAACAATTCGTGCGGCGATTATTGTCAATTAATGGTTGATCAAAATTTGGAGAATGACAATGGAATCACGCGTTCTTCATTATCACATCCCCTCCTCATTTCCTGATTCCCGCGGTCCTTTTGAGAAGGAAAAAAAAAAAAAAAAAAAAAGATTACGTTTACCCGAGAACACTGACACACCAATGATTATGACGATGACCTAAATAGGTGTTATTTTGTTGACCAAAATTTGCGGATAACAAAATAATTGCACAAAGAAATGATTCCAAATAAAGAAAAGAAGAAATCATGCTAAGATTATTGAGAATCAAGGAAGAAGTCGTGTTATATAATTTTTATTTATGTAATCTTCAATCAACCAAGGAAAGAATGGATGGATGGATGGATGGATGAATGAATGAATGAAAATTTTGTTAATAAAACAAATTTTCTTATTACAATTAGTTAATAACAATAATAACAATGTTAAGAGCGTGTGAATATATTAAGTGTAATAATAGCTATTGTCACAATAAATTACAATTGGGAGGTTTGATTATTATTATTTATTTACCTTTATTGTATTTTATTTTTAAGGAGAAGGAGTTGGGGGCGAAGCAGCAAAAAAAGGCTGATACTAAAAGGCGGTGCTTGATGGATCATAGTCAGTTGATACCATGCCAGATTGATACAGGAATTATCTTTATGCGGTCACCCCGGTAATTCTTTTTATCACATCGCCATCATCACATATTCTTTTTTTAAACCAGGGGCGGAAAAAGGATCGGAAGTTGTTTGAGCTGTTTGGTCAGATCACAGGAGGTTTTCGAGGGGGGAGGTGACCACGATGAACGTTCGGTGGTACGAATTTCGCTCCCACTCCACCTCCGGCTTGGGAGAGTAAATCCGTTTGCATTAACCGCCGGATCGTTTCGCGAGAGAGGGCGATGATGATGGTTGTCAGTCAACATTGTTAGATCAACGGGTAATTGTTTATCTTGTGACGTGCAAGGTGAAGAATCCAATCCGCGACACTCCAAACGCAGTATCACGAAGGATCGGCCTCGTTGATAATAGGTTCTCCTCGTAATACCGCAGGATCCGACGTGCTAAGGAACTAACCATGGGATTCTATTTACTATTACCCAATGATTACTAGACCATCATGGTAACACAATGTTTATGACGGTGAACAAAGTTCATTGATGACATTCCAGGATGACTTGCATCATGGTTAATTAAAGTTCGGAAAAAGTCTAGCGGTGATGAAGTAAAATTTTTAATCACGAGAGGTTGAGAATAAAGTTATTTATAGATTCGAACAAAGAAAATGGTCGGATAGATAGGAGAGAGGGGATTACGAGAAATCGGAAGACCCATCCACGAGGGTAAAGTTGATGCAAAACACAATGGACATCCCCGACCTAATTGAAATTTTAATTTACACAACACGCATACTAGAAGGTGACTGTTTAGGAATGACCGATCATGATATGTGCTCGTCACTCTGAGAACATCCACATTGGTTGCGCAACGCACCGCAAGTGTTGCGGCATGCACATCGAACTGACATGCGGAGTTGAGAATCATAGAACAAGGTATCACAGAGTTATTATTTAATTTCCCGAGTTAATTCGAATCGAAGAAAGTCGTTGCGGTCATAATGGCGCGACGTTAATCTCAGAATGCTCAAGGTCATCAGGGTTTCAAACAAATAATAAATAAATAAATAAATAAATGCGTGGGTGCTTGCATGCAGAGAGGGAGGGAACAGTTTCATACGGAGAATGAGTGCACTTAATTAAAACCAGGAATGATGGTGGTTCGTATGCCAAATGTCTCGATTGCTCACATATACTTGATATTTAAATTGGGTTGACACAAAAAGAGGAAATAAAATGCGGGGTTAGAAAGAAGGCTGCCAAGACCATAATTTAATGATCGATTATCAGGTGACCCGCTCTTCTTCGACGATTTGTAGATAAAAATAAATACCCCATGACACCGGGAGGGTAGATCGAGCTTAAACTTAATAGTGGTCTAGGAATTCACACCTAGCCTAAAATGTGAACGGTCTCGGCCGTTGGTTTAACGTGCACCCAAATCGACAGATCACGCCTTAAAAGAAAAAAAAAAAAAAAAAGAAATCCACCCCCAAATTATAGTATCCTTATAATGTCCTGCACATAGGTCACAACGCACTCCATCCACCCACCCACCCATCCATCCATCCATCCATTCCTTTCATTTGCTAAAAAGCAATGTGAATATTGGCATCTTCATTTACGTGAACTCCGATTCACATCCCTTTGTCACCGACTTCGTGTCATTCGATGCTCACATGTGTGCTCCGCCTCAACAAAATTTCGATGCCAAGACGTATTGCTGTCCATCACGTACCGCCTGTTTCCAGAGAAAATGCGGCCGCGCACGCAGATTACACATATGTACGTGTGGATGTGGATACCTTAGAAAGTAATAATGTGGTGACAGCAATTGTCACCAATATTTCATGTATTACCAATTGTGTGCGTGTGTTTTGATTAATAACAGTCGTTAGATTGTTCGCATTTTGCATATAACCTACTTTATTACCATATGAAGCAGTTCGATGTGCCGTATATATGTCACTCTATTTCCATTGGGAAAGTCTTCCGGCGGTGTTCGTTATGTGGAATTTTCTCAAATCATACAGCTCAATGTATACTTTATTTTGCCTAGAACAATAACTGATATACGGTGAGATATTATTGCAGATTTAACTGTACTTGCTCAAAAAAAAAAAAAAAAAAAAAAAAAAATTTATGCAAAGTATGTGCTAAGCGTATCAGATGAGGCACATTATATTATTCATTTCATTAGACAATATATATCTGATTAAAATAAAATTTGAGGTACGTATTAACAAAAAATATGAAAATGAAAAAATGATGGTCATTGTGCACTCCAAAGGACAATGTGAAGGTGGAAAGGATGACTCATTACAATTCTCACTATCGCCCGCTTTATTATCCAATCGTGGCAATAGAGGTTAAGGTCGGGTGCCGCAACGATACGATGTATAATCAACCTTCTCTCGATAAAGGAAAATCAGATATCCGTTGCGTTGACTATGACTGTGTGCAACCTCCGTCTTTTGAAGAAAAAAAAATACAGTGGAAATAATAATAATGATAAATAATAGCATAATCCTTTCGGCCTTAAATTTTGGTCACACACACACACCACACTATGCACAGTACCACTTTTATATTGTAATACCCCTGTCTTTCATTATTGAAATCACCTTATTGTCCTATTTTATCCCACCTATCATCACCTCTATATGCCTCACTACGTTTACTGTCAAAAATTTGATTAATTTATATTTGATACTTGATATATACTGTACTTAAAAGAATTTGTCCGACAAGAATATCAACAATTGCAAAACAATTGATAATTTATATTATATATTAAAAAAAAAAATACAATCATCATTGTTATAAATCTTTATAAAAAGTCGGCAGTTTCAAAGAGAAACCACCACACCTTCAGAAAAAAAAAAAATTTTTTTTGATCCATTAATCAATATATATACAACAGAAAACAAATTCACTCCGCTTTCAAAAAAAAAAAATAATAATAGGACAACATAAAATCCCAATCCATTATTAATAAAACACTTGCGAAGCCCCCTATAATAATAATAGCAATAATAATATAAACTTTCTTGAGTCTTTGAGGTATCCCTCATTAGTACAAATAGATCTTCGGTCATATTACAGTGACGTTGTCTTCATAAAATACTGTGGTAAACTCATTATTATTTTAATAATCATCTCATCACCCGCAAAAAAATATTTAAAAGGGGCAGCAACACCTTCCAATCCCTTTCACTTCCAACCACATAAAAAAAAAAAAAAAAAAAAAAAATTTTTTTTTTTTTTTCTTCCACACTTCTTTCAAACTTCAACTTCTCAAGTCTTAATGACCAAACCTCGTACATCATCTAACAAACGAGCCTTGGCCGAAACAACGATCAACGAACATCAACAACTCCACAACACCACCTCCTCAGATTACCTTCTTCACCCAATCAATTCTTTCGGTGACGACGGTAGCAACAACAATAACGACAGCGCTCTTCTTCAATATTCAACAGCTTCGACAATGATGAGCACGCAACCTCTCTCCTCACGCGTTTCAAAGCGACGTCGAAATCGGGACACACCACCTCGCCCACTTAATTCATTCATGATATATCGACGGGAATACCAGAAGATGATCAAAGAGCAGAATCCAAACATCCTTCTCTCCGAGCTCTCTCGCATTTCGAAATCTGCGGCCGACAAGTGGGCCAACGAACCTCCGAACATCAAACAAATATACGCCGAGAAGGCGAGGGCCGAGAAGGAACAGCACATGAAGCTATATCCGAATTACGTCTATTGCCCAAGGCGACCGACGAAAACGAAACCAAGGAAGAAATCCGCGTCGGAAGGTTCTTCGTCGGAAAAGATGTCGGTCAACTTTTTGTTGAATGATGACAGCAATTCATTTCGGTCCTACAACCATTCCTTTACGAAAACGACATCATGAGGAAGAAGCTTCAACGCAAATCTAGTAAATCATCCTCTCAATCGGTTGACGGATGATGACGAGTTGAAGTTACTATGATCAATCATAGTGCCGATGATTATAATTTGATCTGAACAAAAAGAGGCACTCTTGACATTTAAACAATTGCTTTCTCCTGTTTCACCCATTTTCCGTTCACTTAAATTTCCATGTATATTTTTCTTTGCTATTTTTTATTTCGACGAAAAATTTAGGTAGGCCTAAGTGAGAATAACAATATTTTAGTAGTAAATATTTTCATTTATTTGCATCGCATAAAATGGTTTAAAAAAAACCCCATTCCTTATCATACTACCTTTTTTGGTTTTGGTTTTTTTTTTTTTTCTTTTTTTCTTTTTTTCTGTAAATTTTTTTTTTTGCCTCTCGCACTATTCCAATCCAATCTTCCTCAATGGTGACAAACAAAATCCAGTAAAAGAAAAAAAAAAAAAGAGATTTTAACAAGAGAGGAAAGGATGGCGAGAAAATGATAAAAACCATCATAATTTCTAAGATTCCCGAGACCAAAGAAACATGCATACATGCATACATACATATTTAACGCTCCAATTTTTTATTTCTCGTCTGTACAGCTTTTCTTTTTTTTTTTTATTCCTTTATTTTATTTTCATTTTATTCTTTTCTTTTTTTTTCCTGTAAGTAGTTCACATCATTTTTTATTTCATTTTCTCTCCGTTTTTTTTTTTTTTTTTTTTACTCCCCTTTTTTAAAAAAACATCTGCATACGCACAAGCTTAATAAGTCTCGATTATATCAATCAATCTATTGCAAAGAGAGAATCCTGGTCATTGTGAAATGGCGTCGATTCCATTTTTTATTGTCGTCAAGTACTCGCATACCGTAAGGTATATATCAAAGTAATAATAATAAAAATGAAATTAAAAACAAAAATATATACATATATATATATACATGCGCATGTACAGTATAAATTATTAAAGAATTTTTCGTGAAATCGTGAATTGTTAAGGCCCGACCGATCTCAAATCCTTTCGCGAAGTGTAATGACGTTACGATGACGCCGTAACACGGTCTACCGCCATCCATTCATTATTGCTTAGTTTCCGTGTTTATCGTGTTCTGCTGTTGTCATCTTTGTAGTTTGACCCTTTTTTTTTTCAAAACCCCATCTTACCTTTCTTCAATCTTCTGGATCGTATCGCCAATGTGCTGCGTAATTGGTTGATCATTCGATTGGCTCTATAAAGATTATTGCATTCACCTTGTTGGTAGTTTGATTGCGTATCACGTTTCGATCTCTGTATTTTCCCTGGATAAAGGAATCATTATTTCCGTTCGCAATCATACTCCTTGTTCAGGCGCCATCACGAAAGAAAAAAAACGAGCCATCACGTGACACAGGCGTGGTCGTGGAGAAACTGATGCGGAAGCAAGGGACAAGTGGTGCATTTCTTGGATTTTAATTTTGGCAGGAGCAGTTTGGTCAACAATACTTTTACCCATCTTCCATCAATACTGGAAAAGATAAAAGTTTTTTTCTTTCTATTATTATTTCAAATATTTGGTTTTGAAAAGGGGAAATCGTGTGACCGAATCTCGTTTAAAATGATGGCAACCAACGGTAGCCAACAGGGACAAGGGAAAAAAAGCCCATTCATTCCACTTGGTCTTGCTTCCCTTTCCCTGGCACTTTGGGTTTTTAGGATGAGGATGTGTGACGTCACGAACATATAAATGAGTCCGTGATAGTCATAATGTGTGTAGTTTATTATTGTCGTCGACGCAGAATTTTTTCATGGGTCACTTGCACGAAATGCATGGGTAAACTCTAAATTTATATCCGACAATACATGCCAAATCGTATTGAATAATGAAAAAAAATGAGAAATTTTTAGAACAATCAGAATCCTATAATTATCTTTTTGCGTGCTACACCATATTATCTCACAGCTATTATTACAATTATTTAACCTTATCTTATATGGATAAAGTATGAAACTCCATAGTTGTGTTATATTATCCTAGCGTCATAAAAAAAAAGGCTTCGCATTGAAAGAGACGCTGTTACAATGATGCAGCGGAGTTCCACCCAGAGGATCTCGCAATCCCACGAATAACTCGTTGATCTCAATCTCGCAACGAAATTCATTGCAATGATTACTTTCTGAGAACAATGTGTGCCGACAATTGTACGAGTCCCTAGGATGGATGTGTGAAAATGAACAATACAAAGACGCTAAATAAATGGATAATATAAACAGGATGTTTACGTAAACAAAAATAGTGACCTTTCTTTTTACAGTAATATTTACGGGGCTCGAGGAAGCAAGATGCGATGATGTTCGCAAAAGGATTTATGAATATTTGCCGATGACACGTGGTGATGGATATCTGGAAAGAGGGTCGCCGTGATATCATGACTATTGAAATTTCCGTCATTTTAAATCATATACCACGACTGTAAGAACAATCGGGACACCGGAGGGTGTCGTGTCAATTAATTTCACAATATCAATCTAGATAGCCCATATGCCCGCCGCAAATCTGTCGACGGAGGTTAAAGTTTAATTGTTCTATGACATGTATCAGAAATTAGGTTTTTAGGGTCAAGTTTCATGAAAATGTGTCAGAAATTAGGTTTGCCCGGGTCCACCGTCACAATGTACATCGTGTGTGTGTGTGTGCCCTCGCACATCTCTGGCGTATACACTGCACGTCGTCAATTCAAACAAGCGATTTATTATTTAACGTCCGACTTGAAACTCGAATGCGCTCCTAGCATCATAGGAAGTCGTGACGTCAAGTGCGGGCAGGTGATACTACCAGTAAAGACCAGGTACCTCCGGGTTTTCCTTCCGATGGTGCGATAAGTCACCGAGATGTTTCCATTCATTCCTCCCGCTCACTCACATCTCACCCGAATGTTGAACAAATATCCCCAATGTATTTTTTCTTTGTCTGACTATTGTTTAGTGAGGTCCTCCTTCCTTGAAGTTCATTCGTCTTGTCAAATTACAACTTTGGGCAAAATTAGATAATTAAGTAATATAAATAAATAAATAAACAACAAATATTATTCCGTCCCAATGATTTTTGACAATTTATTGAAATACATATTCCGAACATTTACTGTTTGTACATCTTTATTTATATTCCTTGAAACATGAGAGCATCTCAACATAATTATCAATACTTGTTATCCTCCTGGTTTCGCCGATAGGTTTTTTCTCGTGTGTACCGATGCTTGGATGTTTAACACACTGATTATAATGTGGTGAGGACAGACGAATCGATTAGATGATGGGAACGGTGTGAAGAGTAACAATGGGGATTGCCATGACAAGTTTCAATGATAACAGGAAACGATGCGTGATTTTCACGTGATAATATCAATGATCATTGATCGACGGCGATAGGAGACAGGACAATCTTCTTTCCTGGGAATTATAATGGATCGATGGGAGGTTTTGAAGATGGCGTGTGAATTCTGAAAAAAATAAGAAAAAAAGAATTATGTAATTCGTTTGTTAGGATTGAGTGGCCAACGTATGAACGAAGTCGATGCGTAACGTTGCTGGCCGGAACCAGTCTCTCTCAATCCGCACGAACCATTCCCAACAGGTGGATAATGTTTTGTGCGGCCATTGTGTGATTCAGGGAAGTTCTTCATGAGTTGATGCGTGGCTTTTGCTTTTTTTTTATCAGATTCACATGTGGAGGTTGATCGTTGTTAAATCAAGGACAATGAATCGATTTTGATTCAGAAAAAAAAAAAAAAAAAAAAAAATTTTTTTCCTTGCGATAGCAGAGCAGATAAGACACTGGAGGTATCGATCACACGTAATGGTAATAATGATTGATGAGTTTTCCTCTCATGTACTTGCCCTCTTCGTGAGTTAATAATAATAATAATGGTGATGAAAAAACGGCTGGTCGCCATTCCTAAACGGGCGAAAAAGAAAAAAAAAGGCGAGATCACCGCATGACCATTATTGCTGGGAAACGAACAATGTCAAAGATTCGGTGATCACCATTATTTTTTAATTTCTGATTTCTGCACTGTATGTACTGTATGTACTGTATGTACGTATTGTTGTAATATTACGCAGTTTTTATCGATTGTTGGTAAATTTCTTCTCAAATGATGCATGTATGCACAAAGGTATCGTCTCCTCATGGAATCCATGCTTGCAGTTACAGTATGATATAGTAATCGTGCTTTTATATTTTGTGTGATTTTTTTTTTGCACTTGCCTATTCTGAAGATGGTAAAATGATAATAATAAAAAATCCTGACAAATTGGAATCAATTTATTTGGGCAACAAGTGCACTCTCTTTTGATTATCTCTCATCACCCTCTGCTTTCATGCACCGCCACGCACTTTTGCATGGGATGGGAGCGTGCGTGTGCTGTATATACATGATCATACTTTTTTCTTTGTGA